TTAGTGCTAATAGGTGTTTCGGTTTGGCATTGAGGACAATTAACAGCAAATATTTTCATTAGTATTCAATAACTTTTAAAGGTTTTTCTTTTCCTGGATAAATCTTTCCTTCTTCAATATAGTTAAAGGTGTTGGTCTTAAAGCCTCCTTGGTGAAAACTGTCATCGTGGATTAATTCTGCTTTTCCTCCTTTATTTTTTTGTTTTCATTTATAATAAAAGTCCTGACTTTCGAAAAGATAAATATTAGAATGAATTTCTTTAATTGTTGTCTCGTTTAAATTTAAATGTTCAGAATTAATGGTGGCTCCAATTATTCCGTTAATTATTAGGTGAATGATTTTCATATAAGAGTTTTTTAGTCTTCATTGGGGTCAAATCCATATTCCAATTGATAATAAGATTTAGGATTAGGTATTTCTTCGTTTACACTAAACCTAGCCTTAGAAGAGGGTTGATTAATGAAGTCTGAGAATTCTCCATCTCCATTAAGTTTATTAAAGAAGTCTAAATAAGTATTGTATCATTCAGGTCCATGGTCAGGGTTTCAACCAGGAGGAGGAACTTCATACCAAGTTGGCACATGAGCAGCTTCGTGAGCAGTAGTATCAGCAAATTCCTTGCTAGGTAAATAGAAAGCTTTCTTGGGAATACTGATAGTAAAAGTTCCGTTGGCTTCGGTTGTTCAGCCAGCACACTCTACTTCATATTTATCTAAACTGATTTCAGGATAATTAATAAGCAGAGAATAGTTAGGAAGCAATTTTTTTATCATTCTTTCAGCTACTTTTTGTCATTCTTTTTCTCTCTTATTTGTTTGGTAAGCAATGTCTTTTTTATCAATATAACCACAAAAACCACATTTGAAATAAGGAGTGAATTGTTTACTAGTGTCTTGACATTCAGGGCATTTAGCCCAGTGGTTATAATAATCAAATAGCATTTATTATTGGTTTATTCCTATTGTCCTCCCCATCATTTCTTTTTGTAAAAGTTCTTGACAGATTAAATGAGCCACATTTTTATTATAGCCTACTTCTTCACCTTTTTTTATTCTCTCACAATTTTCTTTTAAATCTTTCAATAAATTATCTTCGAAACTATAATAAGTAAGTAGTTTTTGATATTTATTTAACAAATTATCTCCTAGTCAAGCAAAATATTCCTTGTCTCGATAACCAACTTTACAATGATGAGAAATTCTTAATTGTCGGCTTAATTCTTGTAATACTTTTTTTTTAACTTGATTCATGTAGATTAGTATTCCAATCTACTTTATTAATAATTTTTAGCTATTATCACGGCTACTGCCTTCGGAATTATTATTTTCTTTTTCTTTCCCTTTGTTTTTATAACCTTTTTCGGTTCAATTTAAAATTAGTTCTTTATATTCTTCGGGGACTTTGCCTTCTTCTCGTTCATTTATTCCTAAATAAACTTTCTGGTCTTGGCTATTTTCCAGGCAAGTAAGAAAATTACTTAAACAAGTTC